TGCGTCTTAGTCTCCATGGGAACAGCCCTCGCCCCCCTTTCAGCGGGACCCGAGCGGTCTGAGCGATGAAGGCCATGATGAGGGAGAAAACCAATACAAGTGCTGCACCTTCACCAACACACCCGTGTCTGGGCTGTGACTCCACTTCGAGGTGCCCCGGGGACCGGGCTCTCCTGACCTCATGGGCTTTGGCGTCATCCGGAGCCGCAGCAGGCAGAACACAATGTCCGATAGATCTAGATTAACGCAGCCACTCAGTGAGCAGAGGCCGAGCCCTCAGCCTCAGGGTCTCTCTGTCAATGTGTAAGTCTATTATTCTATCACTGCTGTTTCCATTAGGTCGTACAACCACCGATCACACATAAATCGTTATAAAAATACTGTGGCCATCAGTCAAAGGTATGAAGTTAATCAGAGTGGTAATATGAAAGTAAGAGGCAAGGGACTAATTATGTAATTAGTAATGCCATAACTCCAGCTGGAGAAAATGGGTTATTTGATTAAAAAAATCTCCAAAGAGCTGCTAAATTATCCTGAAATGAGATTGAGTTATTAATTTATAATGCCCGTATATATGCTTGTTATTTTAGAGTTTCTTTAAAAAAAAAAAAAATTGATGTTCAAAGTAACCACAACAAAAAGCAGACACAGGTGGACACACTTTAGATAAGAGGGGCAGTGACCAACCTTCGTACCTCCCCTGTGGGAGATAACCAAGACATTATCAGTTGTTGCTGGGTAAATTACACTTTTAATTAAATCTATTAAAACTTTAGGCCATAGTTGAAACACTATTTTGTTGTTTCATATATATATATAACATATTCCGACTGTGGCAAACAGGGAATTGTATTTTCCATAAAATATTAGCAAGAGGAGAAGAGGAAGACATTTTAAATATGAGAAGAAGAATTATGTTTTATTCAGAGAATTTGTTCAATTTTTTAAACAAACCTAAATTTGAAGAAAAACATAAATATGCCAGATATAAGTGAAAAAAAAAGCAATAAATTATAAAATATACAAAAACCCTGCAGTCAACCGTATAACAACAGACTTTCTTTTGAATATGTTACCTGACAAAAGTTCAACTACATAAATGGAACACAAAGAAAAAAGCCAAAAGAAACTGTGACTGGAAAAAAAGATGGTTCCCACACTTTTTCTTACTTGCAAAGTTTTACAATAACCAGCTGAAGACAAGAAGTAAACACGTGTGTTTGTAAAACGACCATTCTACATGTGACTCCCATCATCTTGAACTTTGACAACTCCTCATGTAACTGATGTGACAGAGACACCAGTTCCACCTGTTTTTTTTCTTCATTTTTTAAAAATTGACAAAACTCTCCATTTAATCTTGGCCCTCTGCTGGTGACAGAATTTATTGCTTGAACATGATGTCATTAAATAATCTACACTTGCTGTTGCGGCCAACATACCCATGGAATGGCCATATTTGATCTCAGTGGGAATAACCTGATTTTAATGAGCACATACCCACACGCACATCTGGAACCCATATTTGACAACACAGACATCAGTCATCCATCTGCCCATCATTCCATCCATACTGTGCTGTTATTACTTTACCTCTGCTGAGGACGGCCTTTTGAAGGAGATTAAAAAGACATAACGTGGTCATTTTCACAGCTGAATCTCACATCGATGTGAGATCAATATGTTTCACGGTCTTTGGAGGTAATATTTTGTTCACTCACAGTGAAACCAGAAATTCTCCAAATTTGCTCCATTTCTCAGCAAAAAGGGGTTGAAAAAGCAATCAGGTGTTCATCAGCATTAAGGCTGTTATAACCTGCAATAACCTGCAATCATTGTGCAATTATAATTTGATTCCTATTCCCCCTCTGGTACACTGACACATAATCACACCCCCAACATATAAAACAGGTCTAATTATATCTCCATGACACCTTTTTTTGTCACACTTAGAAACATTTAAATGAGTTTCATGAGAGACAAACACAGATAAGAGCACATTTTTGAAGAAGCTGGAGGGTTGCACGAAACAAACAACTATCGGCTACACCATTGTCTCTGGATCGTCTGGGTTTTTTAAAGAAGTTGCCGTGGTGACAAATATCAGCATCAAATCAGGACGTCTTTCTGGTTCAGTTAGATCTTCAATCGCCCGTTTTAAAAACAGGCCTGGGACTATTACCTAAAGTCCTTCATCTCCCGTTGTTGTCAACTGTGCCCCAGTTTTTAAAAACGGTATTTCCATAAAGTTGAAAGACTCACGAGAGGCAAAGAAAGCCAAGGAAAGTCATTAAAATGTACGCAGCAGAAGCAGGAACGTGAATTTGCAAAAACACAACTTTTAGTTTACACCTCGAGGCCCTCAACCTGGAATCTTCTAAAGTGCACACTCGAGGCCCGCAGAGTAAGAACAGAGTAAGAACAGAGTGACCTTCGGTGCTGGACCTGCAGGAGCCCAATAATGAGTTTAAAGCCACTCCCAGATTAACATAGTCACTACAAACAGTGAGTCCAGTATTA